TCGTGCATTGCTTTGAAACACCTGGCATCACCTGGCTCCAAATCGATGAGGTCAGGCCCTAGCAACTTGCGAAGGCCACCGGTTTTGCACAAAAACCAAAGCTAAAGGCGATGACTCCATGACAACAAACAATGTAATCACTGTGATCAATGTTGCGTGGGTAACTTTTGCGGGACCTGGGAAGCCCAGAATGGGGGGTGATCAGCACGTCAAAACCACACGTCGAGTGAGAAGTGTAGCTATTGTCGAAACAAATATCCCTTGCAAACCCCCAAAGTGGGTAAGCTGGTAAGTATGCTAAGTTGTTCGCAACTCCGAACAATGTTTGCAAACACATAAGATCAAAAGGTTTTGCAAACTATGTGCGCTCCACTCGTGCAAGGATTGCAGAAGGTTTAGAAAACCTGTGTCTACTGGTTGTACAAAAGCACTGGGTACAGTAATTCCATGTAATTCCGTTCAACACTGATAATTTCTATAATATCGTTTAACACACACACACACACGGACAGACTTCCGCTGTCTGAGCGCGCCCGGCGCGCCCTTCCATCTTCCATCAGTTTAACATGGTTTAACTGCGAGGGTCAAATGCCTTTACCCAGTACACCAGTCGCGTGGTCTGCTCAACTTCAATCTATCAGTGGTGGGGCTATTGATCCTTGTTGATGCTACTTCTTGAGTCACCTTTGGCTCGGCTTGGAAGGTTGACACAAAGCATGGAACCTGGAAGTAACAGCAACGATTAAACAACTCACCGTAGTGTTTAAAGCTTCTAGATTCGCTGTGGCTGGCCACGCGCAAGTTGCCGAACCAAGCCGCTCGAAGCTCCATAAAGTCTGTCTGTCTAGCCAAAGCGATGCGGTTGCAGGCAGTGCTCCGAGAGTGACAACATCGTCAATCCCTTGCAAGTTCAAGAAAGCCAAACAAATCAGTTCAACGTAGTGTGCTGCACTGCACATCTTTATATATAATTCTGTTTCACTCTGCTGCATAGCTCTCCCAAGCATGCAATGCAAGGAAGCAAATCGAGCAGCCGGGCAAAAAGGTCAAAAAGCAAAGGTGAAGTCTCCAAGGTTATCCTTCAGATTCTTAAGATTCCAAAACAGTAGCTAATTATTAAATTATGACTAATTGAATTGCTGCATCGTCTTAACGACAAAAGGGTACGCTTGCTCGTGGCACAAAGGAATTAATCAAGGGCCCAGCCGCTTCACTTCCAGGTATGCAGGCCAAAGGACAGTGCTCAGCCTTGCCAAGTCAGTTGGTTTCAGTTCCAACCAAATGAACCCGCAGCTCCCCTTATGTGTCTCTGAAACGCTGTGTGATACATGGACATGTAGTGCAGCCTGAAAGACTTTAAGATCATGAATCAATCATCTAAGCCACACGCCGCACGCTGTCCACCAAATCAGCGCAAGTCTTCCAATGAAGTCCTCAAGCAGCAAAAGCCATCAAAATCCAAGGTTGCGCTAGTTGAATGTTTGAGGTTTTGTTTCACCACAGTCATCTGTTCCCGCAAGGACCAAGGACCTCCAAGGACATCGTTTTGGTATGTTTTGGTGAGAAACGCAAACTGCGTCGTTACGGCTTAGCAAGTTTCCCATGTCCCATACTCAATGAACCTGTACAGCAGCAAGCTGTTATGGTTTAGCTGGCTGTAGTCGTTTGTTTCTTTGCTTTTCAGTAGTTCTGTAGTGTTGGTCCTACGGCCCAGAAACGAAGACCCTGCATGTTCTCAAGCAGGAAGGACCACAAGTATCACAAGTCAAATCAACTCTTTATCTGGACAAACTTGAATACCGAGTCTCCAATGACTCCAATGATTGGCTCATTTCTTGAGTGGAAGCGTGTCGTCTCCGAGGGTACTCAAGCCAGAAGAGAAGCCAGACGAGCTCAAGGCACCGGAGGACAGAGTAGATCCGCTCAAATCTGAGGAGAAGTCAGACGAGCTCAAGGCACCGGAGGACAAAGTAGATGCACTCAAATCGGAATCGGAAGCGCCCGAGGTCAAGCTGGATGAGCCCAGAGATCCGTAATCGGAGCCAAAGCTCGAGGCCAAGCTGTCGCCAGCAAGTGTCGAACCCAAGGAGTCAAGACCAGTCGAAACGCTTCCAGGGCAGCCCACGAATTTGTGGCTGCAGCACCAACGCTGCCTCAGTCTGCCAAAGCAGCATCGTCGCGTCACATTTGCACCACCAAGGTACCTAAACCCCAATCCGTGCCTCGAACAAATAACGTGGCTAGTGTGAAAGTCGTTTGTACAACTTCAGCAAACAGCAAACAACCTTATGTATCCGAGATACCTATTATAAATATATATATACAGTATATGATTCAATCCCCCTTGAAATTCACCCAGTCACTGAGGTATACCCAGTCACTGAGGTATAAACTGTCTCCCCATCTATGGTCATAAAATCTCCGGAGACTTAAAAATCATAACCCCCATCTCAGAGAAGAAAACCCAACAAATATCAAACAATTCTATACAGTAGTGAAAAAAGGTGTTTCCGACAACATCCGACAACTTTACGTACTTGTACTTGACGTAAGTTGATGTAAGTTGCAAGCTTGATGTACAAACTTCCAAGCAAAAAGCGTAAGGATCGTGTTTTTTCCCTGCCCTTGATTGGTGCTGGTTTGTTGTGATATGAATCATTCTGATTCTATGCTCATCTAGTTATCTCGTGATTCTTTCTGAACTCAGAGGCTAAAGAAACACACCTCTGGACAGCAGCAAACTCACAAGTAAAAAAATGCACCCCCCATGTGACCATGCTGAAACTCACAGATAGTTATACCTTCCTCACACATCTCTATAAAATCTGGCATCCCATGTCCAATAGTTCGAACTATGCCAAAGTCGTGAATGAAAAGCTGCTTCTCTTAGACTATGGCAATTGAGTGGCTCGATTCTATAGAGAGAAAGATCATTTCTGGCTATAAAAATGCTCGTGTTCAGTACCCAGATTCCCTGATTCCAGAGGAAATTTCAAACGGTACAATGCCTTTTCGTAGTTTGGACCAAGCCAAATATAGGTCCAAGGAACTTGGCATGTGACCAAAGTGAATGCCAATCATCATCGGCTCCGGTGTCGCAGTCCTTAAATAGGTGCCACTTCAGCAGCGCAAACTTTGAAGCCTTCTGCATCTACGCAGATCTTTCGTCAGTTTCAGCCTCCTTTTGGCTCAAATCAAGCAAACCTGCTCACCTTGCCAGCATGCTAGTCGTACACCTGGAATGGAGAATAGGAGTTCAAGCACGGTCTGAAGAGTGTGCAAGCAAAAAATGCTTCAAAAAAATGTGCATGTCAAGCTGCGTAAGTAGAAGTCGAATCGCCGTGGTCCACCACAGTGTTCCACTTGGTGTGGTACTTTGTCACAATGTGTGGTGGAGAAGGGATGGGCACGTGCACGTAGTGATCTCAGCTATCCAAAGCTGCTGAAGTTTTGCAGAACCATCGTTACAGTACTCCGTCTCTACCAAAGTCGCCAACCAGGCTAATACAAGCATCAAAGTAAACCAAAGCTGCCTTCACGGGTCCTAAATCAATGAACGTAGTCTCCCTGAATAACAAAGTGTGCTCTGCGAAATATCCCACACCCAACATTGGATCGTCATGTGTTTGTCCCTGCAGAATACGGGTATATACATATTGTGCATATATACATACATTCTAGCCATCATGTGCCCATCATTCACTTATATAAATCATTGTGTCACACTATTGCAGGCAGAAAGGCTGGGGCCAGGAACGTGCACCGTGTAGGGTTTCTTCACGTTAATCACCTGAGCGGTGTCAAAAACCATCCAGAACATTTATTAATATTATAAAAACCTTTCGCCAATCCCTTCGCAACGCTTTCGCGGCTGCATGTTTTGCTTTCGCCGACCCACTTCACCCAACAACCTCTTTCGCTAACCCTTTCGCCGAGTTTCTGCTACTTACATCTAAGTAAATATATCAGCAAAGGGGAATCATTCCTAATCTGCAACCACTGCTTGCGCCACATCTTCGCGAACCTTTCGCCAACCTTTCGCCTGGTTATCAGGAATCTTTGGATGACATGCTTTGTACAGTTAACCTCTCTCGCCAACCCTTTCGCAACAAAATCCTTTCATCAAAAATTCAGAGCCTTTCTCCAAACCTTTCGCCAAGCTTTCCCCAACTGCAGTTTTCCTTTTGCAACGATTCATAATCTTAAGTCCTACCTAAATTCTTCCATAGAGGTTTATGACGTTGCTCACCTGTCAAACATGTTCTGCAGCATCATTCAAACCAATCCGCTCTTCTGTCCAAGAATGGACCAAGGACAAGGATGGACGAGGATTGCGTCACCACTTCAGCAGCTACGAGCTGACTGTCCCGAAGCATTAACCGAACATAACAAAACGTAGTATCGGCTGAAATGATCCCGCCTTGGGTGGTTGTGGCACAGGAACAGGCACGGATTCCGGCACAACAACCTAGCACAGTTTTGAGACAAAAAAGGTCAGCTAAGGATGAGTAAGGTCGATTGGCGCCATTGTTGAATCATTCATGCCTTCGCTCCTCGACAGGAAACCTTCAAAAAATGTCCATCATTGTCATTGCCTACACGTGATTCAACCACTGGCAGAGTGATCCACTTCAAAGTCTCTATTGACTTGGCTTCCCGACAGGCTTCACGACAGTGGGTCCGGGCACTGGTACATGCACATACTGAGGTGGGCTTGGCACGTGGTAGGTGTGGTGGATGGTCTTCACAATCTGGGCAGGTTTGAAGCGGAAATTGAAGAAGGACAAGAAAAGGAAAAACGTTCGGAGCAAAGTCTTTGCGCAATACCGCAATGATCTTCGATCAACAAACACTACACTGAGGAGGAATACATCGTGGAAATACTGAAAGCTTGGACTGGTGATAGGCCGGTCGGGAGCTGGAAATGCTGCAAGAACAATTCAGAATGATGGAAACCTCTCTACCAAACACTCCCAAGAATGCAAGATGCAGCTCAGCAGCGGGAGCATGCGTGGGCATGGGCTCGGGTACCGGTACGCGCACAGGCCTCAAATGTCGAACACAAGGCACCAGTGATAGGTCGTTGTCATAATTATGTGGACCCTTTCCAAACAAGTTGCTGTGTCTTTACCACAGTGTGGTAGGTGTTCTTATCGACCACCGTCTTCGGGCAGAACTGCCGCAGGGAGCAGGAATGGCCGGAGGTTTACCCTCCACAGGAGTCATTCTCTTGTCTGCCAAAGTTCTGAGAATAGAGAATACACGATGAATCAACAACCATAAACATGTCACGTCTTCAGCCTATGCCAGGGAAAAAAATTCAACTTGTCAGGACTTACCAAATCCTGTGGATGCTTCGCAAGCATGACATACACTCCTTCACATGCCCTTGCACAACCAACGCTGGCAGAATAACTCTGCTCGCAACGATCAAGCTCGCCCACCCCGCCGAACCATACTTGTAGCAGCACCACCGGGTATGCTTCTCACTCCAGCTTGGATCTGGTTGATCGCCGAGGCCATCGCACGAGTATGTTTTTGCAGGAGTCTGGCCGGACAAGGTGAAGAGTGTTTGAGGCTGCGACTATAGAAACTTCTAAATCTTGCAATCATAGAAGTTGTTTCGCTACTATATATATATATATACACTCCAACTATCTCCAACTCAAGCCTTTCAGAGTCTTTTCCCTAGGCTCCCACCATCACTTTCACCGTGTGGACAATGGGAGGCTGCTCAGGCGTCTTCACATGGACCTTGCCAAGTTCATGACAACAATCTGGCAAGGTTTTAAGTTGAAGCCACAACCCTTGGAAGAACGACTGTGTGAGGCAAAGAAACGTTCAGCATTCGGCACTCTGTCGGTGTGACTTCTACAAAAATCAATCTAGAAACCTCTCAGCACGTCTGTCTTCTACCAAAAAAAAACAAACTTGGGCTAAGGATGCGATCTCTTCGCAATGCAGTGTTTCCTCTGGATTCTTGTCGATGACAAGTTCTGTTTGTTGTCAACCTTGCATGGGAATGTAAATACACTGATCCTCTGAAACAAGTCGGCAGACTAACTGACTAACTCGTAGCTGCTGCTGAGTTGCATAGTGATTTACTGGCACCTTCCTGGCTCAGGACTCAGTACGCAAAACACAAAGACGAGACAAGTGTGCCTGTGTAGTGGAGTATAAAGATACCGGGAGCAGGATGAGTTGCTTTTGGAGGAAAGAATAAATAACAACTACCACCAACCAATAAATATTTGTGCGTCAAGAAACTCCGGACTCCCCTCCAATCAAAACAACTATCGATACCTTATCCTGCGCCCGATCCTGCCCTCATTCAACATCATTCCACAGGCTATGCTAGAGGATGTTGTACAGTGGTAGAGTAGACTCTTGCAAAATGTTGCTACTGTTTTGTGTCTAGACTTGTTCCTTGAACAAACAAACAAACAAAAACAAAAGAACACGTTCTTGCTCTTGGAGGTCCTGTAGACGGTTCCATAGTGGCGTTGAACCACCTGCTTCACTTTCACCTGAGGTGTGACCGGCTGAGGAACAGG